AGCACTTGCACATCATTGGTGAACAACTTGGCTATTGAAGGAAAAGACAGACCCAATATAACAGCTATAGAAATGCCAGTGAATAATCCTGTCTGCATAATGTAATTGCTAACAGATCAACAAATCAAATATAATGGATATCTCCAAAATAATTACTCACCCAGGGAAGCCCAACACAGATTGATGCAAGAGATTAACTCACCTTTATAGCCATATAAGTAATTTCTTTTACTCTTCCATAATCACGTTTTGCTAAAGAACTTGCAATGAGTGCCTTCAAGTTGAACAAATGGTAAAGAAATCAATCATTCACTGAATCGTACTAGATGAGCAAAATTTGCATTCTCTAATGTTATTTCAATACAATAGTGAGTATATCAAATGACAATATGCAAGCCCATGAGGACAAAAACTTATACAGATCTATTAATTCTAACTCAGATTTATTTTTATTGCCTTGGCAAGGAAAGAGCATAATTGGCAATTATACACAGAACTGACTTCTTTGCATCTTGAATACATGTCAGAAATACAAAACTGCCTTCCAGAATTAGCAGAGAATTGTCAAACATAATTAGTTTTCACCTGGCCGGCCGCAGCTTGGGCATCTACGAGGAGAGATGCAGACAACCATACTTGCAAGCATATTTGATGGGCAGCCATGGATAAGGCTCCTTGACGAGCAGCCATTGATGTGCTAAGAGTCACAGTCAGGACAGCAGCAAGAGTTCTTCCAAGAAGAAAACCACCTACATACAATTGAAAAGTGAAAATGACATATGCTTTCTTCAAAAAAAAGAGCCGTGCCACCCCACTACACAAGTGAAAAAGGTAAGAAACTAAATGAAAACTCTTGATTTCAAACTTGTTGGCAATTATTTATCTCATCTACAAAGATGCTATCTGTTTCAAATGAAAAAAATTAAAATGATACTGAGATTTGAAGATTAAACCAATTACTTATTATCAGTATTACATTCTTATTGAAGTCATTTAACATGAGCTAAGAGAGACTGTAAGCACCTTGAAAGGAAATTAAGGAACCTACTACAGCAAGAATGGTGAAAAATTTTAATCAACAGGACCAGATCATATGAGCGAGAGACCAAGAAACGATGGCGCACCAGATTTTAAGTAGTCACCAAAGTGCAAACTTTTCAAACTGGGTAGCAACAATGCCGTTCTCTTATTTAGATGCCATAGCATCAACACGGTCACAATATATCTGACATGTTGAAATATAGGATTGTCAATGCCAGATGTAAATTGGAAGCAACAACGATGGTGAAAGTACTCACTGAGATGCGACTGTGGAAATGGCTGCACCAGTTACTCCCAATTGGAAAACATACATTGCTACTGGAAAGAAGAATACAGCTGCAAAATTTCCAAGCCCTGCACGTTCATTTTATGAATCGCTCAAGACAAGAAAACAAAGTGATGTCACTGGTGTCTATTTACCAAAAGTATTCTAAAGTGTTCTGGGTCTCATTCCCTAGTATAATTGTGTAGATGCAACTCAACATGAACTGTATCCAGCTCTTAACCAATTACTTTAAGGATAGGAAGAGATGAACAAGGATATCTGTTTAGTAAAGAAATGAGATTTGTGTTTATAATGGGGCATGCTATCACACATCAAGCACAATCTACTTAATCGGTTGAACCATGACTTCTTTGAGGCAGCTGTCACTTAAGTGAAGACGAGCTTTCTTTCGTTCACTAACCGAAGCTGGAGAAGTAAATGAATTGACAATGCACGAGTCATTTTAGTCACCTAAAACAAAACTATTACTTTTATCTTTTGTTCAGAAAGAACATGAGAAATAAATGAAATTTCATAAACATGCTACCAAAAGCTATTATTACAATAGAACATAGCAAGGTGAACTTCTGGTGTCTAATGACACTTCCAGTATGCTCCTGTGTAAGCTGATAAAATTCGCAATTACTATAGTTTTGTCAACATGTAAAATCTTACCTAAACATAGAACAGGAGTCCGAGTATCCTTAAAACCACGTAGGATGCCCTGAATAGCCAGAGAAAGAACAACAGCTGGTGCACCAAGTGCTCTAAGTTTAAGAAAGTGTTCTGCTGGGATCCGCATCGGAGAAGCCTGTTAAAGACGAGAGATGTCAGTAAAGGTTCTTGACAGCACCCGAATCTGAATCTAGAAAATGGTTTAACCTAACATGTGGTTCAAACCCATGGAAACATGTAGCTTGACTTGTAATGTTTGTCCTAGACAAGTACCACTTACCATTGATATACCCATCATGCTGAGAAACACTCCTGATCCAAAAAACATTGCTGCAGCCTCAAACAAACCAATTCCCATGGACAACACCAAGGCAGTAGAGACAGAGGGAAGTGTCATTCTTTCATCTGTATCATCAAAGATTTCATAATTATCTGAACAAACGTAGTCTTTTCATTTCAACATCCTCAGCTTCCATTTAAGCTAACCTGAAGAAGATTCTTCATTGCCTTGCCTAGAAATGTCTTCAGCGACAAATGAAGTTGCCACGCTGAGGAGAGGGATATTGAATACCTTTGATATAATGTTAAATATGCATATCGATATCCCAGCAGATGCCAAGTCCAATGCACCTTTTAAAAAATTTAATTTCAAGTCAGAAGCTTTAGAAGCAGTGGACCAGGGTCCATGTTGACAACATAGTGTTTCAAAGCAAACCAAGATTTGTTACTAGGGCTTAACACTGGAGGAAAGCATGTACAAAGGCTTACCTAGCTTTCCGATGTAAGCTGTTTCCATAAGTTGTGCCAGTGGTTCAATTGCTTGTCCCGCAATAGCTGGTACAGATAGCATAATAAGCTCAGTTTGGACACTTGGGGTCTGTTGCTGTTCTGAAGATATTCCTGTCAAAGCACTGAGAACCACGATTCAGGAATTTTATGTTTTCTGTTGTTTCTTCATTTGGCAGGAGACGTTCAAAGCTATAACCATTAGCTAGAAGTAAGGAACAGGGGAAACAATTCTACTGCTGTATTTTGTCCCAACTCAAACTGTGATATCTGCCAAAGGAGGTTCTTCCTTGAGCCAAAATTACATTAAACCAAGCAAATTCAAACAGTCCAGAAAAGCATGCAGGTTCTTTAATAAAAGCACATATATAAGACTCATTCAAATCTTATAATATAGGAAGACAGAATGAACCACTAGCATCTGTCTGTAACGCTGGACGATTTAAAACGTTAAAACCATAAGAACAAAAAATTTGAAGAAAAATGGGAAAAAAATAGTCGCTGTAGATTGGGACCTGAGTCTTACATTGCTCCTTCATTTGATCCATTGATGAGCTTCTCTCTGGTTGATGTAAACGTTTCCTGTGCACCAGAAGTACCAATCTCATACTCCAGAGCACCTTGATCACTTACATAAGCACAATTCTTAACAGCATTATTGAATCTGAACCCTTTCCTCTGACTCACTCCAAGAAAATGATGATTACTAGAAATCCCACTCAAAATTCCAACTCTAAAGGCTTTCTTTATCACTCTTCTTTCGCATTTTGTACCAGAAATCCCAGGAGCTACCCCTCCATTAAGCTTAATTGCCGCCATTTCTTCCCACTTGAAGCCGATCAGTATCTGGAAATTCAACCAAGCAACAAAGGAAAAAGGAAAGGAAAAAATGAAGATCTGTCTTAAGTCTTGGTTATAATGCTTGCAAGTATCTCGTGTTAATTAAGAAAAGTTAAGGATTTCAAACTGAAAACGCTGGATTTCAACAACCCTTTTGATAACATAAGCAAGGAATGCTATTTATTATACTAGTTCTATACGTCAAGAACAGCAAATTCTGGGCCCAACCTTTAAAGACTGGAGCTTTAATGCAGTACAAAAGCATACAACATTCGAATTTGCAACAAGAAGAAGAATAGTAGAATTACCTGAGGCTTCAAGTGGAGAAGAACATATAATCTGAAAGACAAACCAGGCCAGAAAGTTGCTATGAATTTTTTGTCATTTATTATGGACTAATGTGTGCACTGGTGTGTGTCTGCGTGGCCTGCTTTGGTGGAAAGTATGTATATACGTAAGTCTGATCATGACATATTCTACAATTTAAGAAATGTGAGGAATGATGCGAGGCTTTGAATGAAGGAGGAGGGGGTAGTTGGGACTTGAGGAAATATGATGATTTGGTAGAAATGTGGCGGCATATTTTATGGGGCCCGGTTCCATTTTATATAAGTAGTCTTTTCAGTCATTGTCTTTTTTTTTCATTCCCATAAATTATTTGGTGTGTCCCTTTTAATTGGGCGTGAAATTTATCACCTACTCTAGTTATAAAACGCATATATCTGAATATCTATATTCCATTTTTTATGAATATCTATCTATATTCAAAACACTGGTTAACGTATATACACATTTTTTTTCATATGTGATATGCTTTTTATATAACATAAATCATATCAAAGAAGTGCTACGGTATTCAAATACACTTTATTATTATTTTCGTTTTGCAATTCCAATTTGGTTGGAAAATGCCCAGCTGATACAGTAAAGTCTGCCGACACTCCGTACCACCGGAGTTGGACGGTCACATGTGTTAGAAATGATTCACAGAGTATTACATATTTTTCTTGGCATATTACACGTGAAACATTTTATTGATAATTTGTTGGAGACTATTACAACAGTTGATGATATTCTCTGTTTGCATTTGCTTGCTGATTCATGCAATTGTAAAGGTGGAAACAATTGCTGTTCCATCGTTAGGAAGACCCCACACTGATAATTGCAAGAAAACCCGCATGTTTTGTATCTTTAGAGTCTGAGGTACTAATAATGCAATGAATTATTGGGGGTCCTTCACATAAATTGTGATTTGTCTGAGATCTTTCTTTCTTAGTAGAGAGAGAGAGAGAGAGGTCTTCTTGAAAAGCACAATACTGTCCTTCCCATAAGATTAAGTGATGATTCAATGCATTATGATAGCAGTCTGAGAAAGATTTTTGGTTCAATGATATAGTCATAGTAGACTCAATTATTATGGCATTTTCATCCAACAAACAAACAAGTGAGAATCATTTGTTGTACATAACCTAAACAGCAATAAACTTGGGATGAGAAAGCTCATCACCAATTTCAATTTCACAGATTAGTTGAACATTATTGTTCTTGCTTTTCAATCACAATCATCAGTTGCTGTAGGTTTCATGATCATCTTTAATTTGGGTAGTTTCCTCTCTGCTGTGCTGAATTAGCAGGACTGGACTGGTGTACCCCAGCACATGTGTCTGATAACATGTTGTTTGGTCAGTGGTCTCCACCTCCTGAATCATTGGAGCAACTACACTTCATACGTGGTCTCAAATTTATTTGTCCCACTGGCATTCTTGACCCCATGAGAGGACCAAATTTATGTGAACAGGAAATTTCTGAAGTTTTGCACTTTAAAGCAGTACCTTGTGTTTTTCCACCAGCTCTTTCTTTTCAAACATTCCAAAGAGCGTAAACAGAAGAAACTATAGAGACAGCAGGTTATCTCTAATCTTCTTCAACCATGTTGCCCTTGGATCTGGAGAGTACAATCTGTGCTCGTTACAGGAGTATGGTTTTTGACAACTGAATATCAGGTTGTGTTGATTGCATCAATCAATATGCGAGCATGGAATAAAATGTGGAGACAACTTATTGCAGCTCCACCTAAACACACTGAGTTACCACAAATTCCTCAACTATTTCATATGTTTAGAACAGGGAACAAATTGAGTCAAGAAATGAGGAGCTGAAGAAAGATGAATGCAGGAGCCCGGTTTGCACAGAAGCAAGTAATGCTTCGGAACTCATCGCCGTTCAGGAATCACTGCGACCTCTGAAACACAAACATGAATTATATGAAGATAAAAGGAAATCCAAAGTATTCATGTCTGACTTAAAAAGGTTAGCTTGATAAGCACACTGATCTGGACCAACTCCTCTCCCTTCGATATGATAAGTAGCCGAGATAAACAATTTTTACAGCAATCTAAAATCTTATCTAATATTTTTTTAAAAAAAAGAAAAAGAAAGGACAACCCTCATTTTCTTTTTGGCTCTTTCTATATATTAAACATTTATGGTCTAAAGAAGGGGTAATTATCAGATCAAGTTTGTTTTTTAGCATGACAGTAAAAGGGTCATTACCACCAACCTTAGTTTCAAGTTCGTTCCTGTCCTGCAAGAACCACCACGGACCACTTTTTTGTGATAACCTGAAAATGAGAAAAGATTTAATGGTAAATCACGAGATGCACAATATCAAGCGTAGCGAGAAACTACTTGGTGAGATAAATCACTGAAGACGTCGAGTCCGTTCTGCAGAAAATTGCAAAAAAAAAAAACAAGAAAAAAAAACACGGGCACTTCACTCTGAGTCAGGTTTGAAGTTAGCAGCGTTAGGCAAGAAAAAGGAAGAAGTCACCAAGACTCAGGAGAAGTGAGACAGGGATAATATTCAGAAATTTTCAGCAATAAAGCTGCTGTAGTTTCTAAGATGAAACTTTCCTTTTGGGGTTTCTGCATAGACAAGTATTGCAGTACTTTTGCATTTTGGAAGAGAGAACCCATAAAAGCAACAATCTCAGTGCCGAGACAAGAAAAATTCCACTGCTGCCATTTACCTCCAAAATCCACTGATGGAGCGCAACCCCATGAATAAAGCCAAACCTGACCAAATTCCTGAAAGACCAAGCATTGAAGAAGCTTGGATGAGAAATGCTGATGAGATTGCCCCGATGACCATCTGACAAGTTTTTGGAGTTGTAACCGAATGTTAAGACGTACAATGTAAAGGTAAACATTCTACTATTAAATATTATAGACAGGCCACATACCATTGAGCAACCTGCATAGGGGAAATCAGAAACACCATAATGGAGACCGTCAAAAACGTATGCCAGAGCACTAAGTGGCTGACTGGCACTGACAAACTGTGAAGGCACAGATATTTATGTCTTTTGGAAAGAAACTGGAAAACTGTTAAAACTGAAAGAAGTGCAGTCATAAACATACCAGTATAACAGATCCAATTATATTTTGCACTTGTGTATCAGTAGTAAACAATTTGGCCAATAGAGGAAGAGACAAGCCCAATATGACAGCTAAAGCAACACCTGTGAGTAATCCTGTCTGGAGAAGCATAGGTGGCAATACATCAAAGAACATTAAATGGTAGGGAGATAGGTGAGGTGAAAAAACTGTTCAGATGTGGTTGAAGGAAAGCTCAAATGAGGAGACATCAGCGACTAAACCACCTTTAAGACTGCATATGTTATCTCTTTGACTCTGCTGAACTCAGCTTTAGCAAATGAACTTGCGATTAGAGCCTATAAACAATAGTACCATTGAATTAGATGCTTTCTGCCATCAAGATAGCACTGAGAAGTTAAAACTAACTGTCCAGTAACACAGGGCAAAGAGCTTGGGTTAAACGAACCCATTTTTATGAGAAATTTTCCCAGATGAACGTTTGTTCCATTGCATATGCAAGGACTCAACACTCAGCATGTAAAAGTCCATTATCAATCAGCTAATTATCAAGTTCAAGTCTGTAATGCGAATGATTTTCATATTCCTTGAGAGGAAGAGGACTGCATTTTGTAATCATCTGAAAGTTCACTTCCACAGAGTACAGACCGAGTTACATGTACTGTTTGTGAGGTCCCCTCTGTAGAACGTTAGAAACAACCCAATAACATTCTCATTCAATTCTAAACATGCAATATTGAATACAATACCTTGGTGTTCATTCACTACTACATGAACCAATGAGCAAAGCGTGATAATTCTGTTACCTGAGCAGCAGAAGCTTGAGCTTCAACTAGGAGCGGAGCAGCCAACCAAACTTGCAAGCATATCTGATGAGCAGCCACAGATAGAGCTCCAAGATGGGCAACCATTGACGTGCTCAAAGTCACTGTTGTTGCAACAGCTACAGTTTTTCCTAGAACAAAACCACCTGAGCAGAAAATGTGTATGAATATGAGATGTTTCCTTCAGTTCATGCAACTGCCCAGTCTCTACATCCTTTAGGGAGAAAATCGAACAGGAAGGAAAAAGATTAAAGCAACAGTTTTCATAAAGGCCCTGATGAAAACAGTTTTAAGATCTCTTCATGTTGGAGAGACCAACATGGTCCAGGCCTCAGAGCAAGAATATCAAACATAGGAGATTCCTTGGTGGAGTACATTAAGGTGGGATGACTGTGAAAAGTGGGATCAATGAAATTCTTATCAGATTGGACAGACATTAATGACATTGCCTCTTAGCCCAAGATGCTAGCTAGAAAAAAAAAAAAAAGAAAACAAGGAATCAAATTTTGCTCCAAAGAGAGAGAACAAGTAACCAGGACATAATCTGATCCTAAATCCAGGAAACTAACCATTTACCTGATCTTAAGTAGTCACCAAACTGCAAATTTTTCATATTGCAGAACTGCAGTATGGTCCTCTTGTTCAGATGCCACAACATCAAAATGGTGACAATGTATCTGAAATGTTGAAACATGAATATATTATCATCAGAGACAGGTAAAAACTAGTTGCTTTGGTGCAAGGACCTACTGAGATGCAACTGTGGAAATTGCTGCACCAGTTATACCCAAGCGAAAGGTATACATGGATACTGGAAAGAAGAACACAGCTGCCAAATTGCCAATTCCTGCACATTCATTTTCCATTTGTAAAGATAAGTTGGATAATTTAAAGAATCCTAAATTCCAACAGGACCATTCAAGAGTTTCAACAACAAATTAGTCTTGCCTAAACATAAGACAGTGGTCCTTGTATCCTTGAAACCGCGGAATATGCCTTGAATGGCAAGAGAAACCACTACTGCTGGAGCTCCAATTGCTCTGAGTCTAAGAAACTTTTCAGCTGGACTACGCATTGGGGAAGCCTGTTAAGAAAATAAGATCCTTGGAACCTTACTAAACACTTAATGATGTATTGAATGATGTATTGAAAGTACAAATTCCTATAGTTGATACAAATTGTAGAATATATACTTTGATTCCAAGTATAAATATGTCCGATGCTTTTCCAGTTTTATCAAGTTCGATACACGTAAAACTTACTGTTGATACACCCATAATGTTCAGAAAGAGTCCTGATCCTAAGGTCATTCCTGCTGCCTCAAATAATCCAATTGCAAAAGATAAAGCTAAGGCTGTAGAAACTGAGGCTAAAGCCCTTCTTCTATCTGTTTGACCACAGCAGTTCAGTAAAATCTTTGAGACCCCCATAATATTAACTGTAGCACCCATTTAAGTTTACCTGGAGTGGTGTCCTCGTGTGAGTGTTGAGAAATATCTTCAGCGACAAACGAAGTAGACAGACTAAGGAGAGGAATGTTGAACACCTTAGATATAACATTGAATATTGAAAGTGATAGTCCGCCTGCAGCCAACTCGAGTACACCTTAAAAAAAAAAAAAGAAATTCAATTAGGCACTTACCAGACCATGCAGCAGAGAAACAAGTTGGAATGGAAGAGGAACAAATGTAAGCCTATGGAGGTGACAAATGTATGTGTATTTCATATCTAACCTAGCAGATCACAAGCAAAACCACTCATCACATTACCGTGTTTCCACTTCTTAGCCTAAGTGATTAAAATTGACATCTGCTATTCATAGGCAGACATGCATCAGTGAGAGTACAAGTATGGTAGGAAAAAATTTGGCCAAAAATAAAGAAGAGTACTCATGAAAGTAGATGAGTTTACCTAATCTTCCAACATAAGCCGTTCCCATGAGTTGTGCTAAAGGTTCAATTGCTTGTCCTGCAATAGCTGGCAGTGACAGCATTGCTAGCTCACAAAAGACAGCTGGAGCATTGGGTTGATCCTTTAACGTTCCTGTCACAGCTCTAACATTCGCAACACCACATTTCCTTATTGTTATTACCCGTTTATTTGCAGCTAAGTAATAACATTTCTCAGAATTGGTGAAAACAAAGAATTACATGCCAGGCCTATTTGCGGTCCAAGTCCAGCTGAGTTTTATGTGGCTCGACCTGAGCTGTCCAATCCCCCACCCCGTCTTTTTTTTTTTTTTTGAAAAAATAAAAGGAAAAGAAGAGCTTTGATGATTAAACTTACCAGCCTAGATCAGGCCACATCAATCATAAGCCCAATTTGAGCAGCTAATTGTGACTAGAAGTTGCGCCTATAAACTGTACCACAATCCCTTCCCATTTCTTTAATAGTAGTATTTCTAATTCACAAATTTAAGATGTCACTATCACCCAAAAAAGGAAATGGAGAATCACCATCGGCAAGCAGGCACTGTCCAATCTGAATCACCTCACGGTAGAAACCCAAAATATGTATTAAGGTTAAGAAGCACGCTCAGCTCTGATGCCAGGACAATCCAGATAGAAATCAAAATCAGGCAAATATGACAAGAATCAAGTGGTGCATTAAGTCTCATACTTACATGTCTCCTTCATTTGATCCGCTACAGAGTCGCTCTCGGGTTGAAGTACACCTTTTTTCCACATAAGAAGAAGAACCCGCTTCATAATTCAAAGAATGCTGATCACTGACTAATCCAGAATTCGGAGCAGCATTGTTGCATGTCAATACCTTCCTCTGATTTGCTCCAAGAAAATCACTATGAAGAATCCATTTTGAAGAATTTTGTAGATTGGTAGCCTTCCTAATTGGCCTTCTTCCACATTTACCCGCAGTATTCCCACGAACTAGTGTAGCACCACCAGAGAGTTTAATGACTGACATTTGGGCTCAATCAGAATGTAGCAAAACCTGCAAAATATCACACTCCGACTGATTCTTCCATAAGAACCCACACCAAATTCGATTATTTCCAACTCTTGGATCCTCATTTTTAATACTGATTCTTTGACTTCATGGCACGCTTGCATATTTTTAAGGTGGAGATATGTTTTTTTTCTTTTTTGTCAGTCAAAAGTTCTTATAGTCTTTCAGTCAGGAAAGCTGCCAAAAAGAATTCAAGAAAAGCCATCCCAGGGAGTCAAAAAAAAAATGTCGAATGAAGCAAGTAAACAAACAAATTTCTCAACCGTTCGAAACAAGCATGAAGTGGACATTACAAACCATAAAAAGACTCCAAAATAGAGATGGAGGGAGACAAGAAAAGAAACACTTAACTGAGATCAATCTCGGTACTCTGTCCGCCGCCAACTCAACCAACAAAAAATATGCAACTCTGATTATTGCAGACATCTTTGACACATTTAAGTTCTGCTACTTGCTTGTGAAATATTACTACTATTCTTTGAAGTTTCTCCTCGCGGATCAACTGGTCAGAACTCTTTTTTTTTTTTTTTTTTTTAAAAAGAATCTTTTTCCAATAAAATTTCTACAGGGTGTAGAAATTTTATTGGAATGACAGCACAAGTAGCCTAGTAGGTACAGTTTCAGAAAGCTGTTGGGAAAATTCTGTGCATTGCTACGTTGTTTACGAGGAATTTCACAAGTACTTAGGTGTCAGGAAAAACATGCATGTACGGACGTGTATTACTCTTTGCCAATGTTTTAGGACCACAGGAACAAGGGCATGACGAAAAGGACCCATAGTTATTTTTCTCTAGTCTTTGACTAATAGTACTCAAAAAAAAAAAAAAGAAAAAGAAGAAGAAAGAATCTTGACTAATATTCATGATTGTGTACTTGGTCTGCTCTGGTTCCTGAATCAGAGTCTTTAGTTTTTGATAGCTGAATAGATCTCCTTTATTACTACTATTACGTTACCTATTATTTTATGTTGAACAGGTGACTGCTGTAGCAGCAACATAAGGTTGAACCTTGACAAATATTTTTGAAAAGTTGATTCTAATCATTTTCATCAATCCTTGCTCTTATTTGTGAAATTACAAATAAGTTGAACCGATACAAATAAATTATGTGTTTTTGGTCTTACTAGTGTGAAACGAGTCCAGAAAACGAGGAGCTTGAGTTACATCTCTTTGACTTCAACATCGAAAATTGAAATTTTCCACTATAAAATAAATTAAAGGCTGCTCTGGCGACGGACCAATTCGTCCAGGAGTGTTATTGAATCGAATTCAAGTAGTGAAATATGGGATTTCAACTAGAGCAAAAATGCTTTAGTTCGAAATCGTCAAGTTCTTCAAAGTTGTCTTCCATTTCTTCAAAATCGAGCTCAAGTTTGAGCTCGAGCGGGAGTTTATTTTACCTTAGTTGATCTTGACCAAATTGAGCTTAATCGAGTTCAATCAAATTTTCAAACTCGATTTTTTAGTAAATTTCATAATTTTATAATAAATGATTAAAATTTATATTATAAATATACTACTCGATAAGGTTTGACAGGTACTCGAGTTTTGATTTTTTCTACTCAAATTTGAACTCGACTCGATTATGTTATCAAGCAACTTGAACTCGATCAATATCAAGTTCCATTTGAGCCTTTGCCAAGTTATTCGTTAACCTGAGTAGAGTAATTTGATTGATTTACATCCAAAGTTGGCCAATAGTTCATTTTGCTTTGTGTTTACTAAAGCCAGGACGTCCCTCTGATAGGAGAATGCATCTCCAAGGGAAAAAAAAGAGCCAACGCAGTCAAGTATCCAAAAAATATATTCCCCACCCAAAAATAAGGCATCCTTTGGATTACAAAATTTTGGAGTATTTGTAGAAAAATATATTATAATGATGTAATGTATTTATGATAAAATTGTAATTAGAAAATGTGTCAATAATTTTTTTTTTTTTTTTACAAAAATTCACAATCCAAACAAGGCCTAAATAACAACAATAATAGTATCGATTTACTCTTCATGCTGATGCAAGTTGCTCATCTTGTTGATCTTATATCAAGGACGATAGAGCAAATTAGCTTATTTCCTTCATTTGATGCCGTGATTGCGATGTTGGGCTTATCTTTCTCCCTTCCTAAGACGAGTTATTGCATATTGGGGCATCTTTGAAACATTAGCTATTGCTATAGATGACTAATGATGATATAGATTGGTGTTTGGAGGAAAAAAGAAATTATTAATTTAGAACAGTAATTGAACATAGAAATGTTTCCCAACCCAAACTTTTTATCACCAAAAAAACAAAAAAAAACTTATAAGTGTTCCCAACCCTCCCACTTAATTAAAGTTTGGCAAGTCACACCCATTCAATGGGACGGATTACTAGAGAGAAGATGGAATTCCTGGGACTGGCGGGGAAGGATTAATTGAGGCATTGAGAAGAGAAAATGGGAGAGACCACATCAACCTAATTGTTAATAAACTATGCAACATTTGGAAGGACAGAAATGGGTTCCAGTTTGAATCAAAAGGAAAGAAGGAAGTCGAAGTGGTGCAAAAAGCCTGGCAAGAATGGGAGGAATATGATAGATGTTGCAAGGAACAGGAACCTTACGGGTCAAAGAATGAGAACGATCTTGAGGGGCATAGAGAAGAAAGAAGGAAAAAGGACCACATAAACTTGCGCGTAGCTGTAAAATGTAAGCAAACCAACAGAAAAGTTGGGTGCGAATCACAGCAGTAGACCCGTGAGGGAAGCTAAGGGTGGCATGGGCTATGTCAGAACAACATGGAGGAACTAAAAGAATGGAGAAAACTGAAGCTGTCAGACTGGCTATGCTAAGGCACTGGAGCAAGGGTGGCAGAAAGTCAGTATAGGAGTAACAAGCAAAGAGCTCAGTAGAAAAGTACCGAACAAAGACCAAAATGATGCATTGTTAGCAACAATCATTGGGGACATCATACAATTGAAACACATGTTTCCGTCGCGTCGGATATATTATAGCCGAAAAGAGGACAATAGAGTAGCCCAAAATATGGCCAATTTTGCGGTAAGCTTAATACATGATGTAGAGTGAAAGCACAGCTTCCCACTGTGGATTTCACAGTGAAGTAGTTAAGCTCGTTAGCTAATCTTTGATGGAGATTGGTCCAGATGTAAATAGTTACACTTTCATTGGTAATAGAAATGAAATTTTGCTGTTCGAAAAACAAAAATTGACAACCATACTCTGCTATGTGTTCAAGCAGGAGCATGCATTTCGTCTAACACGAACCGTGTCAATTCGTAACTTCTCACTTCCGGCAGGGCAAGGCCAGTCTGGAGAGTCACAGAAAGACCCGGAGGCACCTATTTCTTTTATGAAGCAATTAACCCCATGCATACTGACCATCTGGTGCACTTGGCCACCCACCTGCTCAAAATCAAGCAATACAAAACTTTTAGCAGTCCCCTCCCCCCTCCCTCCCTCCCCCACACCCCCCCCCCGGCCCCCGGCGCGGGGGCAGAAAAAAATCCCACTTTATCTTAGTCTTTTTGATGAACTTAAAGAATGATAACAGGAACACAGAGTAATAATAACAATGAAACGAATTTTTTTTTTAAAAAAAAGATAAGAACATTGCTCTTCTATAAGTAGTCTATTGTCAAAGTACTTTAAATAGATGTTTTATTTCATCCCTAATTTTCTCCAGTTAAACCCATGCCAAAACTTCCCTTCTCTCTTCTTTTGTATCTTTTCTTCTCTTTTCTTTTGAATCACAGAAGTTGATGAAATATTCAGCATAACCTCCCAATATTTGTGCATGGTTATGAGGTGTAGGGGGTCTCTAGAAGTTGGACAATAAATTTTGATGGAAGTGGAAACGAAACGAATGAGGCACATAAAATGGTGTAGTCGCAGGAGATAAGAAGTTAGTTTTAAATCTTAAAGCTCAACTATTTTCCCTTTCTTTGGTGCAAATTCTAAACTAGAATAGAAGAGCAATTAGGTCATGGGTTCTTATCAACCAATCCCGGACGCAAATTTTTTTATTTTTTTATTTAAAAAAAAAAATTTAGCCTTAGAATACTTCTAGAAGCCATCAAGCAAATCAACGTAATATTATACTACTATTCCAATTCATTTTGCTTGAATGGATTGACTCTATTCTTTTCTTGTTTTATGCATTTTTTTTCAACCCTATTATCAAAAATTTCTACTCTCAAACCCAAATGTCCACCATTACTGCATCTATTATGAGTCTACCATGATCAAGGATAACTCCAGGGATGGCACGGGACCTAATCCTCGAGACAAACTGACTTGCTTGGGCGTACACAAGGACCAACAGAAGCGTGATCAAGCAATCACTATAATTTTATAGTACATGCATAATACAGAAATAGGTAGGCCAGTGTTTCATCATCTAGTTAGGTGCAACAACTACGCGTCATCACTTACAACACAATCAATTCCAGCCTATGTATCTTAAACGCTTCAATTTGCCTAATTAAATGAAATTACAGCGTTAAAGTCAATTGTTTGGCTCGCCTGAGTTCATACTGCTGCTTGAGTTGGTCCTATCTACTTAATTAGATTAGTGTTAACGCTCTAGACTTGTTCATGGACCCAATTACGTAATACTACTACTGATTCTCCAACCGTGTCAATCTCGTTGTGCTAAGTGACTGGAATGTTAAAAGTACGCACTAGCCGGCAAGGTGATTAATTGATATGACCTTATTGATCTTTTTCCTCATCATGCATCAAGATTCAAGGCTGCATCTAGACAACCATCGTTTTATCAAGAAAGAAAGACAGGAGTTAAAATTCAAAATAGAACGCCCTACATATGTGAAGTTTTATCAAGAATGACATAAAGCTGACTAGGACAAGTTAAATTCTACATCAGATAACAAATGATGAAGAATTGGAGAGAGCAGATCCTCTGTCCAATATTTTGTGTCCAATTTCCTGTCCAATATGAAACTACGTAGTTTCACTTATTATATCTGCTGATATGGCAATTAAAAATAGGTGGCTGTTTGACTGCCTTATAATTCTTTTTCTTTCTTCTTTTTTGGGTTTCCTTTGTTTACACAACTTTGTTACAATTCTCATCTTTTTTAAAACAAAGTATCAAGAATTTTAAATACAAAAGAATATTTAAAAAAGATGAAAATTGTAACAAAGTTGTGTAAACAAAGAAAATCCAAACAAGAAAAAATAAAAGAAATGTAACGCAGCCAAACAGCCACCTATTTTTAATTGCCACGTCAACAGACATAATAAGTAAAATTACATAGTTTCATATTGGACAGAAAATTAGACACAAAATATTGGACAGAGGATCTGCACCGAGAATTGGAGTCTAGCTCTTAAGTATTTCAATACCCATCCTGGACACGCAGTTGATATTAGAGGTGGAACCTAAAAAGCTGCAAGAAAACGCGTTCTTCATCCGCGTCTCTAGAATGTCAAGATTGTCAAATGATGGATAATGGTTCGACATCCGCCACGTATAATAGACTTCGTCGCCGCCCTCGCGTACGTGATCAGCTCAAAGGAAGCTACAGAGAAATTGCGTTTTGAGAAATTGGCGTTTCTCGCATGTTCTCCCATGGCAAAGGAATTGCTGATGCATTTTTGCTGAATCAGCGTAGTGACGTCCTTGTCTTGATCACTTCAGCCAGTCTTTATTTATTTCTTGTAGTTTAAATATTTCCATCATGGTCTGACACGACATTCACTGTATCTCCATTATCGCCCCATGAGCCAATGATTCTACTATTTCAGAACGACATCATGCAACAATTATGAAACTCTGGCACCATAGTTACCTCATTGCGTGATTAGCGAAGAATAGTCTTCTTTGTTTTATTAGGTGGAGGTGGGGTTGAACTAGATGGTAAGTAAGGTGAGAGGGATTATAAGTAAGAGGTTTTTGATTCAAGACTTCTCACTTATTACAAAAAAAGAAAAGTTCTTTGTTTTATTGTATTCTTAATTGTAGATAAACCATTTTGAGCTCCACAACTGACGATATATATGAAGTGTCTGATCCGGCGTTATCATCAGATCATGCGTGCATTTTCGAAGTAGAGGTCAGCCATCATCTTTCTGATAATGGAAGCCATGGTCGTCTGCTCAGCAAACTAGGCCATGCGTGCATTTTCGAAGTAGAGGTCAGCCATCATCTTTCTGATAATGGAAGGTATGGTCGTCTGCTCAGCAAACTATGTACCTCTCACTCCCATTAGCTTCCTAGAGCGTGCAGCATTTGTTTATGGACAAAGGGTCTCCATGGTTTTTGGAGATACACGGTATTTGTGGAAGGAGACGCATGAAAGATGCATCAGGCTGGCTTCTGCTCTTTCTCAGCTGGGAATTACCCGCGGCGACATTGTGAGTTTCTCATCAACTCATCTATAATATTTGAATTCTGATTTTGGTAAGAGAAAAAGGATTGAGAAATGAAACTATAGCTCTAGCCCTTCTTCTTCTTTTTTTTTTCTATAATTTTTTTTTGGAAGGGGGGTTTTTGAAGGGTTGCAGTGATTACACGGATTTGGCTCTTCTTTAATAGATTTTCTCTCCATTTCCCATCCACAATATACATCTGAATTCATGACATGTGTTCTGATTTACTAGAAAAGAATATGATCATTTTAAATTTAACTAATTCTAATCCTGGTTAATAAATAAAGACACGTGTTATTCATCTAGATATACAATACGAGAACTGGAGAGAGAATCCATTGGAGAGAAGCGCAACGGATCTTCTGTCCCACATCCTGTGCCACTCTCTGTCCCACTTTTTATTATATTGCTATTTCTCCTTCACAAACATCATGTTTTAATTCCTTTTTATTTCCTTATGATCTAATAACTATTAATTGAGTAATACACAAAATTTAACAAACTCAAAAAATCAAAATAAGAGAAAATAAGAGAAGTCAAGTCCATAAGTCCGTGATTCCACTAGTCTACAAATTGATAAATTGATGAGATAAATTGATTTGAGGCTACAAAATTGATGGACTCATTGGAGTTCAGTCTAGCGTGAGTTTCTTCAGTCAAGTGTTTAAAACGCGTATGTGGGACGGGGCCTAAGTGTTGTTGACCATTCAACTGCAGCATGAAGTGCGTGTCACGGCAAACACCCGGCATTTGGTCCTTTTTTTTTTTTTTTGTTTCAATAAAAAATTTCTAATTTCTTTTTCATGACTTTGTTTCTTATACTTTTTTTTTCCCCTAAGGTAGTTACGTCAAAATATCATTATTTGCTGTTAACATGATTAGATGACTAATTTGTAAGCTAGAATTTAGACCTCGATGCTTCGTGATTTTGTTATTAAAAAGAAACAGAAAGGTGTAAGTGTGAGCAATTGAGCATTACATAAGATCTCATAATTTCTATCAAAAGACATATTGAAATCTAGGATTTTAAGTTTGTTATTAATGACTTTATTGCTTAATTTTGTTGTGATCTATTTGAATATGATTTTAATTTTGTATGCTATATAGTGATGCTTGTAAATTGAGTTTGTTTGAACCATTGGGCTGTGTTTGTTATTTTATAATTTTGCTTGTTAGATAACAACACTTCATTTATGATTTTTCTTAATTATATCAAATGCTTTTGTATTTATTAGTATTATATTTGTGTGTGTGTGTGTAATTTTTACATTAGTATTGTCTTTTCTTATATTTTTAAATATAAAAAAAATTCAAAATTTGTGGGGTTTACACTCAGGACTTTCTTCCTAACTAGTTGAATTACATATAATGCCTTGTCTAACACCTTCGTCCAAACCTTCACCTTGGTTCAATCATTTATGCCTCCGTGCTGGTTTGTTTTGGATAGAGAAATTTGATGAAAGATTTAAAATCCGACCAAATTGCTCTAGTTATTTAGATGGTTTAAGACACAGTTAGATTTGTTATTCATAAATTATCTAAATACATTTTAAAACACACAAAAAATTGATAATTTTCTAATCCAAATATCTCTTAAGTAATTTAAACAACTTGAGGGATTTGAGAGGATTTCAGATCCTCTATCAAATTCCTCAATCAAAACAAACCATAAGGAATTTTGATTTCGATTTTCGGTTAAGATAACCCTGATCCATGCCTAGCTATATTAGCCAGAAAACCTTTAGTCTTAACTCTTAGTCCCTTATGCAGTGCATGAATGACAAGCCGGGCAGGATCATTTGGTTGATCATTCTCTAATTTGTCCTTTTGTGGGACGACCATGGATAGTTTGACCAGATCTTAATTAGAGCTCTTCCAACATTTTTTCGGCTTTTATTAAGTGAACAATTCGTTAAGTAATCAGCCTTGATAATTTACCTAGTTAATATCAGATCCTCAACACTTTATAAATTTCTGATGAATCTATTATTCATCTATAGATATCTCTTTTTTTTTAAAAAAAAAAAAAAAAGCCGACAGATTTCTTTCTGATATAAACTTCCATTCAAGAGTTGAGCAATTTTCTATGTGAAAAAGTTACTGAAGAAATTGTAAATCCTTTTATCTCAATAGGTTGCAGCTGTGGCGCCCAATATACCAGAACTTTATGAGCTGCAATTTGGAGTTCCAATGACCGGTGCTGTCCTTTGTGCCCTTAACCCAAAGTTGAATGCAACGACTTTAGCCGTCAAACTGCAGCAGCTGGAAGCCAAAGCAATTTTTGTGGATTATGAGTTTACTAAAGTCGTCCTGGAAGCGCTTGGGTCATTATCTCAGACTAAAAACAATTCTCCGGTCCTAATCTTAATCCAAGAAAACCATACAAATGCTTTCTCAGCCATTCCAATTAACTTTCGACTGGATTATCATGCACTTCTTGCAACGGGGAAACTGGATTTCGATATCAGCTATCCTAAATCCGAATGCGACCCAATCTCAATATGTTATACTTCTGGCTCCACAGGCAAACCAAAAGGAGTGATCTACAGCCACAGAGCTGCCTATCTAAATTCACTTGGAGAAATTTTTAGAATAGGCATGCGACAAAAGCCCGTGTTTCTTTGGACAGTAGACATGTTCCGATGCAACGGTTGGTGTTTCCCCTGGACGATGGCCGCATTGGGAGGCACTAATATATGTCTGAGGGATGTAACGGGGACAGCCATTTTAAATTCCATTTTTCTTCACGATGTCACCCTATTTTGCGGTCCACCAATCCTCTTAAGCAAGATTGCTGAAACGCTAGCAGTTGATCCGCAACCGTTGCCTCAGAAGGTGGATGTTATTGTTGCAGGCGCAGGAGCATTGCCCGAACCCCAAATTCAAACCAAACTTAGTGAATTAGGTTTCAATATTACTTGTGCATATGGGATGACTGAAGCTCTTGGTCCAGTAACGTCGAGAACAATTAGAAGATCCTGTCACGACGAAACGTCGCAGCTAGATCATGAAGATGCTAGAACAAGAATTCGCGAAGGAACGCACAGCCTAATAATTGAGGGAGCCGATGTAAAACATCCTACAACCATGGAAAGTGTTCCAGCTGATGGGAAAACTGTTGGACAAATAATGTTTAGGAGCAATACATTAATGTCGGGGTACTTGAAAAATGCTCAGGCAACTGAGGAAGCCTTTCAGGGAGGATGGTATAGGACGAAGGACCTTGGAGTGAAGCATCCTGATGGTTATATACAAATGAAGGATCGGGCCATCGATGTGATCAACTGTGGGGGTGAGATTGTAAGTTCTTTAGAAATTGAAGACGTGATAATTAGGCACCCTATGGTTTCAGAGGTTGCAGTTGTTGGAAGGCCTGATGAATTACTTGGGGAGACACCTTGTGCTTTTGTGAAGTTGAAAGACGGGTGTTGTATTGTTGAGGAAGAGATTATGGATATTTGTGCTAGTCATTTGCCTGAGCATATGAGGCCTAAGAGTGTTTTCTTTGGGGAGTTGCCCGGAAATTCCACTGGTAAAGTACAAAAATTTGTTCTTAGAGATAGGCTAATTAAGGGGGATGGGAAGTCCCTCTAGCTTATTGTTCATCTTGTATCTATCTCTTTGTGCGACTTTTCATGACAGTTCTTATTTTCTTAATCAACCACCCTGGTCCCTCTCGAAACCCCCCAAAAAAAAAAAAGAGTTATTGGTCTTGAGAAATAAATTGATCTCTTTTTTTTTTTTTTTTCGAAGGCGATAACGGTTGTATAATCTAATCTATGCTACACTAAGTGGGAGGGGGCGGACCTAAGGAGGCTCAAGAATAACTTGAAGGGGACTGAACCATCACCAGACCAAATGGGTGCACAACACATTCAGCTGAATTGCACAACACACCCGCCCTGAAATAAATTGATCTCATGAGTGACGTTTCTCGACCATGGACATGGAGCCCCATCTATCTGGAACAACTGTATTTGGTGGGCTCAAGTTTGAGAATGGTTGATGGTGCATTTAAAAAAAAGAAAAAGAAAAAAGAATTCATATCAAACAATTTGTGCAAATTAATGATTATGATTCTAAGAACGCATGTTTGTCTACCATTAGGTTGGTAATCCTAAATGAAGCTGTTGATTATACAAATCATAATATATTTGAATTTTGGGACAAATAAATGCAATGGAGCATTTGGTTGACCCTTTAGCGTTCCTGTCACAAAATGACCCCTTCTTTCACAAAAGTGCATTATTATATTGAACCAAGGCGAAGATGTTAGACAAATATTATATGTTCAACTAGTCAGGACGAGAGTCATGAGTGTAAACCCCACAAATTTTGAATTTTTTTATATTTTAAAAAAAAAAAAATATATATATATATATATATATATATAAGACAATACTACTATAAAAATTACATATATATATGTGTGTGCGTGTGTGTGTGCGTGTGTATGTGTATTATTAATAATACGATATATAGCATACCAAATTAAAATCATGTTCAAATAAATCACAACAAAATTAAGCAATCAAAGTCATCAATAACAAACTTAAAATCCTAAATTTCAATATGTTTTTGCTAGAAATTATGAGATCTTATGTAATGCTCAGTTGCTCACACCTACACCTTTATGTTTCTTTAATAACAAAATTACGAAGCATCAAGGCCTAAATTCTAGCTTACAAATTAGTCGTCTAATCATGTTTACAGCGAATAATGATATGTTGACATAAACTACGTGAGAAAAAAAAGTATAAGAAATATAGTCATGAAAAAGAAATTAGGAATTTTTTATTGCAACTATAAAAAAAAAAAGACTAATTACCGAGTGTTTGCCATGACACGCACTTCATGCTACCGGATAGATGGCCAACAACACTTAAGGGCTCGTCACAAATACGCGTTTTAAACACTTGATTGAACTCAAGAAACTCACACTAGACTGAACTCCAATGAGTCCATCAATTTAGTCGCCGCAAATCCATTATCTCATCAATTTATCAAATTGTAGACTAGTGGAATCATGGACTTGGTTTCTTTTTTCAACGGATTCTCTCTCCAGTTCTCACAGTATACATCCATCCAGATGCATGACACGTGTTTTCATTTATTAATAAAGGTTAGAATTAATCAAATTTAAAATGATCATATCTTTCTCTAGTAAATGAGAACACATGTCATGCATCCAAATATTCAGCTATACATTGAGGATGAAAAATGAAGAGAGAATCTGATAGAGTAGTCAAATCCGCGTAATCACTACACCCCTTCAAAAGCCCCCTCCCCCAAAAAAACATGATAGAAAAAAATGAAGAAGAAGAAGGGCTAGAGCTATAGTTTCATTTCTCAATCCTTTTTCTCTTACTAAAATCAGAATTCAAATATTATAGATGAGTTGATGAGAAACTCACAATGTCGCTGCGGGTAATTCCCAACTGAGAAAGAGCAGAAGCCAGCCCGATGCATCTTTCATGCGTCTCCTTCCACAAATATCGTGTATCTACAAAAACCATGGAGACCCCTTGTCCATTAACAAATGCTGCACGCTCTAGGAAGCTAATGGGAGTGAGAGGTACATAGTTTGACGACCATACCTTCCATTATCAGAAAGATGATGGCTGACCTCTACTTCGAAAATGCACGCATGGTCTGATGATAACGCCGGATCAGACACTTCATATGTATCTTGGCCTCAGTTGTGGAGCTCAAAATGGTTCATCTACAATTAAGAAAACAATAAAACAAAGATTTTTTTTTTTGTAAGTGAAAAGTTTTGAATATAAAACCTTCTACTTATAATTTTTTGCACCTTACCATCAAGTTCAACTCCACCTCCACCCAATAAAACAAAGAAGATTATTCTTCGCTAATCACACAATGAGGTAACTATGGAGCCAGAGTTTCAGAATTGTTGCATGATGTCGTTCTGAAATAGTGGAGATACAGTGGATATCGTGGCAGACCATAATACAGATATTTAAACTAAAAGAAATGAATAAAGACTAGCTAAAGTGATCAAGACAAGGACGTCACTGCGCTGATTCAGCAAAAATGCATGAGCAATTCCTTTTTATCACGGGAGAACATGCAAAAAAAAAGCAATTTCTCCGTTTTGCTTTCTTTAAGCTGATCACGCGAGGGCGGCGACGAAGACTATTATACATGCGGATGTCGAACCATCATCCATTATTTGACAATCTTGACACTCTAGAGACGCGGATGAAGAGCGCGTTTTCTTGCAACTTTTTACTTCCACCTTTAATATCAACTGCGTGTCCAGAAATCTACATGGCAATTGATGGATATTGAAATACTTAGGAGCTAGCCTCCAATTCTTCATCATTTGGTATCCGATGTAGAATTTAACTTATCCTGGTGAGCTTTATGCTTGGCTGGGCCAGCCTTCATGTTAAAAAATTAGCTTAATTTTTTTAGGTAGATTTCTTGTTTTGGGTGGAAGTAAAGAGTTTCGTAATTATTTTTAGTTACTTGAAGTAGTAGTCAAGGAATTTCCTATTTATATGAGTTTAAGAATAGGAGTTATTCCATATTCTAAATCAGTGTAGGAATTAGTATTGGTTTCCTATTGTTATTTGAGTTTTGACCAAATAATATTCTGTATAAATAGGTAAGTTGACATACTACAAAGAGACACACAAGGAGCACAAAAGGGCAACATGTAGCCTTATACATCGGGGTGAGAGAGGGTTCTTGGGAGATGAGAGATGGTATACAAGGGTTGGATTTGGGATCAAATTGTATTCTTATATAGGGTTTTTCTCTCATAATAAAGAACGGGTTTCTCTCTGTGGACGTAGGTTCAATGGTGGAAGTGAACCACGTTAAATATTGTGTATTGCTTATTTTTCATACTTCGATCTGGCTTGTTTGTTATTAAATTATTGTGTACTTGATATCTCAATAGTTGTGTGTTCCGCGCTTGGATCCTAACACGTCATTCTTGATAAAACTTAACATGTGTAAATGTTCTATTTTGAATTTTAAATCCTGTCTTTCTTGACATTTGGGTTTGAGAGTAGAAAGTTTTGATAATAGGGTTGAAAAAAATGCATAAAACAAGAAAAGAATGGAGTGAATCCATTCAAGCAAAATGAATTGGAATAGTAGTATTACGTTGATTTGTTTGATGGCTTCTAGAAGTATTCTAAGGCTAAATTTTTTTTAAAACAAATGTTTTGTGTCCGGGATTGGTTGATAAGAATCCATTACTGACAGGTGCCGAACCTGTGCAATAATAAATACCTACTCGAGAAAAATACAGATTTTGTATATAGCGGTGAGTAGGGTCGAATCCACAGGGACTGGGGATAATTCGTTTCTTCTAGAGTCCAAAGTATGGGGGGTTTTGGATTAAATGCTAACTAAATAAATTAACTGCAGAAAATAATTAATTAAAAGAAATGATTGGGGAAACTCTAGCCAAGGGTACACATCAGAAATGGTTCATGCACTGATCATTGATGCAGAAATAATTCCAACATTTAGCAGTAGATTAGTTATAGTTGTCATGCACGCGATAAACAACCAACCCTTCCTTAATTTCTCGATAGCTAAGGTACGACCGTTAGCTATTTCTCTAACCCAAAAATAACCCTAGGTACGACCGTAAGATTTAATTTCTAGATTGCATTAATAATTAGAAAGGCCCAATCCTAACCAACAAACACGCTACGAGGGTTTGTTTAAATTAGATCATATGCTCCCCTGACATAAACCCAATTACGCCAGTTGCTACTGAGGTAGAGATAACGAACAATTACGGATTCAATTACCCATATTTAGCAAAAATAGCCTATATGAATAATTAATTATTGCGCACTAATCAATCATACACAAGGCCATAGCAATTAAAATCAAGGAACATATAAATACCAATAAATGAAGAAAATAATTAAAACAGATTCGATCTCACAGTAATTGTCGAACCAAATCGTCAGTTGTCCCCTTGACTAGAATTGAGAGGTTAGTCCTCCATTAATGGAGAACAACCATGCGGAAGAATAAAAACTAAACTATGCTCCAAAAAAAAGGTCCCCCTAGCCTTTCTTACGATTGTCCTTATATAGCCAAAGAAAATGACTAAAGCTATCTATCCAGTGGTCCCCACGAATAAAGAACAAAAACAACTCTCAAACTCCCTACGTTTCTTTCCTTCCAAAGCTGAAAATGACTCAATGCTTTCCCGTGGTCCCCGCCGCAGATTCCAAATCAAAGTACAAAAGGCAATGCCTCTTGATGTTTCCTCCTCTTTTTCGTCTTTCATTGCTCTTAGGACTCTTAAGTACTCAAGACACTCCCAATTAGCAAAAGAAATGCAGTCCACGTATATCACCATGTGGGCCAAGTCTGTGGCTTATTTGAAGTCTCAATTATTTCCAAAAAGTCCCTCAATTTTGTAGTTTTCTGCTCCATTCCTGAAATGAGATTCAAATACCAAATATAAATATATATTTAACAATTAAGCAATATTTGGCAAGGATAAAAAGGGAAATTAATAATAAAATAACCAACAATTAACACCCTATCAATTCCCCCCACACCTAAATCATGCTTGCCCTCAAGCATGGAGACGACAAATAACACCAAAATTTGACAATGGTTATTGTTCCAACTACCGTATTGCCAAGATACCCAGAAAAACATATATCAAGTATCACAGTTAAGATCCAAGAAAAACCACTCCGGTTAGCTTCTCAACTACCAACTCCTCCAATTTAAGGCAAACTAATCTAAGAAAAAGGAATGGTTGCTCACATTTATCAGTAAATGGTCTAGCTATTAACCAAAATCTCGACATTAAGATCACAAACCGGCAAGCTGAATTATTCACATACTAACACAATCTTTATTTTATTTTTTTCCTTTTCATTTTGTTTTTGTTTCTTTTCCTTTTTTTTTCTTTTTGAATAACAAAAGACTTAGTCTATAACCCTTAGAACCTTTTGACGCGAACTCCAACATTTGATAGATGGAGAAGCCCGGTTACTCAGCTCCAATTGCTACGGGACCACGCACTCATAATAACTACTACCTTTTGACGCGAGAATCGACACTTTAGGTGAAGATCTCCGGTTACTCAGTAGTAACTACTAGCGGAGTACAGTCAATTCTTATTTATATCCATATAGCACGATATCTAAAAATAACACAAAAATAACAGCAGCCAGCCTCAAATTTCCACACATGGAGAA